TGTGCAGAGAAAGCAATCCCGTAACAAAATGTCCATTAAAAACGTGGGCGAAACGGCATTTTTAACAATACCGAAGATGTAATGTTTCATTAACAAAAGTTAAAATAAAGAACCCCTGCAACAGTAAGCATTCTATCGTGATTTAAGACCTAAAAAGGTCAAGACATCCTCTAATCAGATGGGTTTAAATGGAAACATCATCTCTGGGTGTTCTGCCAGGAGTGTATATTATTGCCAAATTCCTAATTCAAAACCATATATAAGAATGCTTTATCTGAAACACTGAAGTTAAAAATAAGACATTCAAATAGTAATCTCCCTTCTCTCTCAAAAGATCTATGTGCCCATTAACCCTGGATGCTAACAGGAAGATTTCTTACACTCTATTTGACCATTTTTTTCAAGACATTCACAAGGAAATCAGTACAGAAAAAAATAATTTAGGAAGTTGGCTCCTGATCAGCTACTTCACTGAATTAAAGTGCAATGAGGTTCATAACTTTTAAATAGAAATATTAAACGTTTGTATTAAATACCTGTGTGTGAGGTACAGGGCAAACACGTGCGCGGGATGGGAGCCAGTGGACCCCAAAGATACACAGCACACAGCACCTGCTCTAGTGGAGTTAATCATCTAGTTAGCGCAGTAAGAGAGCAATGCGGAAAGTTAAAGGAAGTGTTTCAGTAACAGTTGTAGACAGTAGAAGAGATGTCATAAAGCAGTGCATGATTCATTGCCAAAAAGATCGTTGCTGACAATAACTGCTACAGGATTTCAAAGAAAAAGGTCATTTTGAGCTGAGAAAGGCCTGGGGAGACTTTACAGAGAAGGAAGGATCCAGCTCACTCCGAGAGATGTAGAGGAGCCTGTGGGTGGGCAAAGGAAACACATCTTGGAAAGGCTGTTTTGTTTTTTAAATGTACGTATATACACATATACGTGCACATATATATACACACATATACACATATATATACATAAACTCCTCCATCCAGGATGTTCAGGTGACTAGTGTAGGAAGGAAGGCACTCAGGGGCCCAAGTGGATGATGCCAGGTTGTAAAGAAACACTGGAACATTCAAGAGAAAATTTGGCCAAAAGCTGGAAATAGTCCAAGTGTCCACCAACAAATGAATGGATAAACCAAATGTGGTATACAGTGGAATATTACTCAGCCTTCAAAAGGAAAGTTCTGGCACATGCTACAACGTGGATGAACCCTGGAGGCATTACTGGCTAAGTGAAATAAGCCAGTCACAAAGAGAAAATTCTATATGATTCCACTTTTATGATGTACCTAAGGTAGTTGAATTCAGAGACAGAAAGCAGAATGATGGTTGCCAGGGGCTGAGAGGAAGGGGGAATGGGGTGTTAGCTCCTAATGGGGACAGAACTTCAGTGTTGCAAGATGAAACGAATTCTGGAGATGGATGGTGGTGATGGTTGCAAGATATGAATGCACTTAATACCACTGAAGATGATAACGTTTACGTGCATTATACCACATTAAAAAGTATATTAAAAACAGAGAGAGAGTGGGGCGCCTGGGTGGCTCAGTCGGTTAAGCATCTGCCTTTGGCTCGGGTCATGATCCCAGGGTCCTAGGATCGAGCCCCGCATCGGGCTCCCTGCTCAGCGGGAAGCCTGCTTCTCCCTCTCCCGCTTGCCCTGCTTGTGCTCTCTCTGTCAAATAAAGAAATAAAATCTTGGGCACCTGGGTGGCTCAGTAGGTTGAGCGACTGCCTTCGGCTCAGGTCATGATCCCAGGGTCCTGGGATCGAGTCCCACATCACATAAATAAATAAATAAAATCTTTAAAAAAAAAAAAAAGAAATAAAATCTTAAAAAAACAAAACAAAACACAGAGAGAATAGCAGCAGGCAAGAGAAGGTAGAGACTGGGGTTCAGGGAGCGCAGGGTGGGAGAGAAGAGATTTAGCAGTTGGCTACAACAAACAGGGGCAGCACCTTTTCCTAGGCTCCAGGCTTGTTAGCCCCATGGGCTCCACCTAGGAATTCCACCACTGAGTGGTGAGCACGTGGTATAGAGAACCCCTCCCCCCATTTTCTTTGGAAATACTGAACTCAATTTAACAAAAGACCTTTAAAATCTTTTAAAATCTCTGACCCTGGAAATGGAGTAAGAGCCGGACACCTGCAGACATTCACTTCTGCCCCCTGTTTCCCACTGGCCTTATTCAGAGGATGTGGACACTAAAAGTAGACAACTCAACCCCAGAGAAAGTGCACAGGAACATGGGCAGTGTTTTCTCTAGCTTAGCAAAGAGGTAGCCAGAGCCAGCTCGGCAAGATGGCGCCATCTGCATCATTGCACCTGGTCGGGCTGTTGGCCTGGCCAGGCTCCCGAGCGGCTCCTCAGGGAGGGCGAAGTCCTGTGTTTGAGAACCACCACATAACAAACCCGACTGGCTGGAAGTTGGACTGACCTTGGGCACCTCTCTGTCTTCTTGTGGATCCATCTCATCAAACAACATAATGAAGATGTTTAGAGTATGTAAGAAGAAATGGGTTGGAATAAACTTTGGAAATACTAATACAGTACGTTCCATCAAGTGATGATAGCAGTTCCTTTGGATTTACCAATATGTTGAGTTAAATGAGAAAGGAAAAAATTGTATGTGAATGTATGTCAGGTCAGCATTTGTGTTTCTCATCATTACATGAAAAAATCAAAATAGTTCTGTATTCTTCAGATTATGTATACTGTGACAAGGTGTAGAAAAAGTCAATTCTAAGGCTCATTATGAGAAATATTTCAATGTGGAAGTTACCGTCTGGTAACAGGGTCAGTCGTAATTAAGGACACATTGATAAGAAAACTTGTTTAGGAGACAGATTTTTTTTCAATCACTGCTTAAGGATTTACTCCTTATATCAACTCTTAATTTCTAATCAAAATAGTCTTTGGTGGATTAGGGTGTAGAACTACTTTATTACTCAAAATAAAAATGAGCTCAAATACTGTTTTCTTCTAGAGATGCCATTTTGGTAAGTCAGAAAGTAATGATGAATCCAATTATCAGACCAAAAAAAAAAAGTTGGCAAAGTTGAGCTTCATCAAATGAACGATTCTATTACCTAGCCATCGAGGTCACCTTTAACTGAAAACTAGGAACCACCAGGGAATCCACCTGATGCACAGCAGACATTCAATAACTATTTGGAGATGCATATACTCTCATGGTGAAATGGCTTTAGACCCCTCCAACAGTTAGGAAGGAAAAATTGGGCTAGCTCTAGGTCTTTCAGAATTCATGGGCACCCATCAATTGGTCTAAATGTGACAAGCTTTTTCCTGTAAGTGTGATCCTGGATCCAAAAAGCCCCGGGCCCCAGGATATTGTGCCTGCCTCTGCCAATGATGATCTGTAATTCAACTCATCAGGGGTCACTGGCTGCTGGAGCTCCAGTCCTCACACTGAATCTTAGGCAAGGCCTCCCGGCCCATGACTTGCTGAAACCGCCATTTCTTTAAGTGGCCTTACTTTAAAGAACAGAAACGACTGAACTATGAATATTAAAACTTCTTACCAGTGTCACAAATAGGAGAACTACCTCCTCTGCATCCTTGGGTCCTTCTGCAACAATCCATTCTTCGACCTAAATAATTTTAATCCTCAGGTGGGTATGGACATCGGAAGATCAGAAATTATGCCTGGCCCATGGGAAGTTTAGATCACTGGTCATCCAAGCCTATATTTTTATTCAAGCTCTTCTCAATTTTTCTTTATACGCTTGTTCCTTTATTTTCTTCATTTGTAATTTAGGAAAAGATGGCTAATACATGGGTCTTGTTGGGCTTCAGAAGTCTTTAAGGACAGACTTGTAAAAAAAAAAAAAGAAGAAGAAAAGCATGAAATGTGTCAGGGAAATGGAGTTCCTATCATTTCACTTACAAATTTTGCCTTTTAAATGTAGTTCTCCTGCCAACCGTTCGGTGAAAGATGGTTTCCTTATTGTTATTTATTAGCTGTGACAGGTAGCAACACTATTCTCAGATAGAGTCTCCCTTTGTCACAATTATCTACTAATGCCTGCGAGGCAGAAGACTGCTCAAAACCCCTTCCTTCTGGAATGCTTTTCCCAAAGGCAACAGCTCAAAGCAAACCTCTATTAACTGGAACACTGACATCTGCAGAATTCTCTGGACAGGAAGATTCCACCACTCCTGCAGTGATAGCAGAAACCAAGACATAATTATTTACACTCCCGTCACCAGGAAATCAAGTTCAGCAACCGTTCTGTGTGTGGAAGCCTTATCTACCCATACCGAGAGAATCACCACTCCATAAACAACCCAACCACAGACTGTTGGTGGATGTATTTCCTTCTGAGCAAGGATCTGTCCTTAAACATCTCCCAACAGGGAAAAAAAAATAACCTTTTTTTCCCACTAAAATTCCATGTAACCAATGGGACACAATGTAAGATAGTACCAACATGAACTAAATTAGATGCCCTCCTGGCTTATTAGCCCCTAGACATACTTACGAATGTGACATAAAAATTACACACTCCTTGCAACAGGGCTCATGACTCGTAATGTGCAGCCACATAAAAATCTAATATATTTTCTATTTTTAAGTATCTTTACTGATTTCTTTCTTCTATGTACCTTTTGTTTTATGCATTTTAGAGCTGAGGACAAGTGGCTGGGGGGAGAGAAGAGACCCAAAAAAAAAGAGAGAGAGAGAGATTTAGAAAGAGAATAAGGTGACAGAAGTGTCACAGGAGGGGAAGCCTGGGGCCCATCAGAGGGCCGGGATGACCCATCAGATGGCCCGCACATGAGACTTCCTTAACACCTTCAACCCAGTCCATAAACACGCATCACCCCCCATCAACCCCGGGGAAAGCACCCAGCACCCATCCCTCAAACTGTTCTCTGAGCATGAAACATATGTGATGTGTTCCACAGACCATACAGAAATGACAGAAACGGAGAGCTAAGCATACAATGAAAACATAAAAACTGAACATACTTCCGTGTGGTAGATTTTAATAAGATTGGTAAGGAGCCAAATGACAAAACGCCCTAGAATACGGAGTACAGAACCTCAGAGACAAAATAAAAGCTCATGAAAACATAAGAGCACTTGAGAACGGTAATAATCTTTAGGATAAAGAACCCACTTTCTCAACAAAGCTACTGAGCACGTTTAATAAGAATTAAGGGAGATTAAAGACGAGGCGCACCGAGCCACATCCCCGAGCCGCAGTGACTGGGAAGGCGAGCTCTGTGCTTCTGAAGACACGGCGCCAGGAGCACAGATGAGCTCCCGTTACCAACAGACCTGGAATAAACCACCGCGAGGCAGGCTGAACTTCTCACATCTCACTTACAGGGTAGGAATTAATCGACTCCCTGGCTGAGCGGCCTTGGACGTGCACCGTGTGGGCACGCGGAGGAGCAGCGACTCTTCCACGTGGTAGAAGGGGCAGGTGCACGCGCCACCGCCATCCACACGACCCTCCTGCCCCAGCAGCCGTGGTCTTGGGGGCGACGAGGGGAGACAGGCTGTCTCCGCCGGGAACAACTCATTATTCAGATAAAGCAACGTAAGAGCTCCGCGTGGGGCACAAACCAACGGCGGTCCCCACTTCTGGAAGCAGAAAGTGCCACCACCCCTGTAGGAAGTAGGACAGCAGAAGGAGAGAAAGTGCTCCAGGCTCAGTGGTGCTCATCATTCCTCAGGAAAGCTGTGCCATCCTGTCTAGGATTTGGGGGTGGGTCGGTGGCGGTTTCCCTCCACGCCCTAAAGCCAATACGTCTGCATTTGCACTTGTCATGGGGGTCCTATTTTTTTTCCCCAAGGGCACTACATGTCATGCTTCACTTGGGCCGGATGTTCAAATCAGTGCATCTGTTCATCCTGCCAGGAGCACAACAACAATTATTTCTTTGTCCTTCCAGCACCTTAGCAGCGAGGAGCAGCCGTTTCACGCCGCCAGCGTCCCAGCAAACCAGGACACACGCCAGCCCCGTGCGACAGGCCATCTACAGGCTCCTTGATTTTAAACCCTAAATCAGTAGTTTAAACAGATGCACATTCCATGTGACAAGAGAGACAGTAGGGAAGATTTGAGGCTCTACATTCTTTAGATGTCGACTTTTGCTGGACTCGCTATTAAAAAGTTATGTGTAACTTCAAGATGAAAGGCATTAGCAGCTTCTTAGAAGAGGATAATCCCAATCTTTTGGAGTTGTAATGAGATGTAACTCACTGAAGCTTCTGGCTCGGTTTGCTGTTAATTGAATCAAAGTCAATGACAATCGCGCTGCACTTTGGTGTGAATTTCCTAAACACAAGAAACAAAAGATATCAAGATATTATCCAGCGAGTAGTTAAAGCAATTTGTTTACTTTGGCTTAACCTACACTTTCTGTGGGCGAGGAAAAAAATTTCCGGGGAGGCGCTTGGTATCTTATCACTAAAGGAGCCAATTACAGTGCACCATACCGAGAGGAACATGAACCAGAAAGGACTAAGACAAAAAAAAGATGCATGGGGTGGCTCGGTCTGTATGTTCTCCAGCTAGCTGAGTGCATGAATTATCAGGGAGTCAAAGGATTTCTAACAAGTTAGCTGCACAACATGACACCCGATTTCTGGTTTTCCCAACAGATTTATCTTCCTTCTTAGGATATTTCTGCAGCCAACCTGGAATCGCTCGAAAGCAAAAAAGGGTAAATCTTCTTTTGCCTCTTGTACACACAGCAAGGAAAAAAAAGCAACCAACTAGCTTCAGTGAGGAGTAATTTTTAAAGTCCCGTTCTAAAAATGCAGATGTAAAATAAACCCACCATGTAGTTTTACTCATTAGTGTACCTTCTAAAACAGTTCAAAGGAAAATATTTGGGGACTAATCGTATTCTTTTAAAACCAGTCAACAGTTAATATCTAATTACTATTATTAGGTAAATAATCTGGATTTAAAGTCTCATAAGGCACAACAGTTCAAGAGATTCATTACGTATAACCTCTATCCCCAGTGATGAACACAAGGGGTTAGGTACATTACTAATTACAGAACCCCACTGCTAACCACAGATACTGTAAAGGAATTGCTTTGAAAGCTTTCAGTCCCAAATGAAGTTTCCACCATGAATCGAAGGTGGTTGAACCTGCCTGCAAGTAAAGCATACCTCCCAATCTTTGCCTAGCACAGATAATCATAAAAGTCAAAATGACTTCAAATCTCAATTTAAAATGTTGCTATCAGAAGAATTCCTGGTGTTTCAACCTAGCAGGTTACTTTCATCCTAAATTTTCGATGCCAGAATTGTTACATTTGCAAAATTTACAAAGGTTTAATGTTAATATTACGAAACTTGTGATTTTTACAATGTCTCACTACTGGAGTAATTTAGTCCAAGCCCCGGAAAGCTCCTAATATTTAAGTGCAGGATCATCAGTCCGATTGTCTTCAGATACTTCTGTCACTGCTCTTAAAAATCCACCCCCCACATCATCTTGAGATCCTCAGCCCATCACATTTAAAAAGATGCTTCCGAGTGTGGAAGTCAGGCATCACAAGCAGAAATTAAACGTCAGCCACGGTCAAATACATTTCTTCATTCGGCCTTCCACCCCCTTGCCCCCAAGCTCTTCCCGCTTACCTGAAGGCCACCCCAGCCATATCAAACAGGCGCCTCGCGGCCGTCATCTCATCACTATCATGGTATTTATCAGATATGAAAATAACTTCTTTTATACCTTCAAAGGCAACAACAGAAGAAGCCCCCTTAGTATATACACATAACGCAGGGGCAGATGGCGCCCCGTAGTGTCCGTGATGAATCACCATTCCCGGGCAGGCTTGCCCACAATGTCCACTTACTGAAATACACATCTACCCCGTTCCAATACAGCAGACAATGGATTATATTTAATCTGCCCTCCAGTCTTTATGGATTTTTCTTTTTTTTTTAAGATTTTATTTATTTATTTGAGACAGAGAGAATGAGAGACAGAGAGCATGAGAGGGAGGAGGGTCAGAGGGAGAAGCAGGCTCCCTGCCGAGCAGGGAGCCCGATGCGGGACTTGATCCCGGGACTCCGGGACCATGACCTGAGCCGAAGGCAGTCGCTTAACCAACTGAGCCACCCAGGCGCCCGGATTTTTCTTTTTTTTAACAGATGCAAAGTGAAAACATGTCAAGTAGTCAAGCCTTGATCTGATTAACAAATTTTCTTTACTGCGGGCAATCAAATTTCTTTAATCACAAGGCGACTCCTCTTAACACAAGAGGCTGATGGTTGCGAGGGGTGGGGGAGGCGGGTGGTGCGGGGCGGGGGGGAAGTGCCACCATGCTTCCAAAAATGGCTGCAAGAACTGATTCCAGCCAGCTCCACCAACAGCAGATCTGTTTTCTTTTCCTGTCCCCCAGGGCAGTGCTAACTGGAGGGTCAGGAGTCTGGGGGGCATTTGAGACACCACCCTGCTCCTCCACCAGCCTCCGAAGGGACTGCGTGCTGGGTAAGGAAAACTCCCGGAGGGTCACGCACCACCAGGGAGGGAGCCCACGACATCCTTTACCAGGGGCCGGCCTCTGATTCTGATACCACCGGGTCTCTTTTCAGAGACCCATGGGCTCGTGATAAACAGCCCCTTTAAACCACACATCTGGCTAACATGATAAGTCTTTAAATCTCAAGCTGAGTTTTATGGCAACATAGTGTAGCCGAATCTCAGATGTGACAGTATGAAAAAGGTGAAATATTCAGAATACAATGGTGTAGATTTATGGGAACTGTAATGTAAGGAAAACTTAACAGTAGTACCATTCGAGTCTGATGACATTTATATGCAAAGATATGTTTAGGTCCTAAAGCATCTACCATATATTAATACAAATTAAAATTTCATATACAGACTCCCAGCTGACCTTGCTTCTGACAGAAGTTCATTTCTCTCCCTCCCCCTAATCTATGCACGACATGTCAGAGAACAGTAAATTGGCAGTAATTATATGCAATGCCTGTGTTGTTTTTTGGCAGCTTGCAGTTTAAGAAGTTGCAAACTAAATTAAAAACATGCTAAGAATCACAAAGGATGCAATTAGTCTTAGAATACCTGGCACCATTCAAAAACAAAACACGGGAAATACCTTGCAAAGTTGATAGTGCAATTAATTTTGATCTAAACAATAGCAATTTCAGATCAAGCGCTTCTGCAATGAGCTGCTGATGAGCAGGCAACAATGCAAATGTGACAAATGGAACGGGCCCAGCTCCTACCTGCCTGGATGATGAGCTTCGCACATTCATTACACGGGAACAAGGCGACATACATAGTGCAGCCTTTCACATCGGCTGAGTTTTTGTTCATGATGGCATTCAGCTCGGCATGGCACACTGTGGGTTTGAAAGACAAGGAAAGAAAAACTTTCATCGCGACTCATGAGGAATTTACTAACGCTGCTAAAGCATTCCACTCGCCCCTTTGAAAAAACATATATAACAGACTCGATTTCTTAAAAATTGATTAGAAACGGAAAGTACTGAGAATACCAAATGAGGGCCACGTGGTCCGACAGGTTGGCGATTAGCAGCAAAACCATTCGCCGTTACGGCCTTGGGTCTGTAAGCGCCTCGAGCAGCCAGGAGAGGCCAAGGTCAAGTATCTACATCCACCCTCAGCACAGCAATAGCTCACGGCTCCACAAGACCCTGGGGTATGAGACTGCGCACATAAAATGGCTCATTTGTGTGTTGATATGCACATGCAGGGATATTTGCTGCGACTGTGAAGAGGGCAGGGTGCAATTTTAAGAGCAAGAGAATCAGGAAGTGAAGCTGAGCATTTCTATCCCGACGGATTTCCTTCACCTCACGGCTCTCAGCCCCCATACACACGAGAAAGATGCTGGCAGCTAACCAGTGGTTTGACTTATGTTAGAAAAGCCTTCATCCACTTAATGAAAAGTCAAGTTCTTGCTATTATGGCCCATTCCACCAACGATCCCCAAACAGTGATCCAAGGTCATTCGCAGACCTGCCTGAATTCAGAGTTAGAGAGAGCACCCTCCTCTCTTCTCCCGCAAACCTGTAAGCCCAGCCGTCTCCCCAGGCGTTGGCAAGGTGTCCCACCATCTAACCCACAAGGGCGCTCCTCCTCTCTAGGAAGTAGTCCTCACCCCTCTGATTGAGTTGAGAATCCCCTACCTGCGCTGTGAGGTCACCCTATTGCTCTTATATTGTTATTTAAGTTTCTGGGTGTGTTGCTAAAACTCTATTATCATCTCCCTGGGGCAGTGATTTGCAAACCGGTCTGCAATCATCTGGGGTGCAGCCTGGAATTAAGAGACTCCCGGCCTGATTCTAACGAGCAGACGCCTTGCAGAAACACTGCGTTGCAGAATCCTCTGGTAACTCCTAGGAGACCTAACACATACTAAGCACACAAGTGCTAAAGTAAATGTTTGTTGAACAAATTAATGACAATCTGGCCATGGTCCAAATCACACAAAACTGCCGGAATTATAAATATGGGGGTCCTCAAGGGGGCCCCCACCCCCTGCCCTCTCCAACTCACCAAACTTCTGCACTGAACACCTTCTTCTGGGAGCATGGGAGCCTTAAATGAAGAGCAGCCTACACTCAGAGTCTTGGACATTTTAGCCCTGACTACTCACTTAGTCAATGAGCCTTTTTTTAAGATCACAGCCCATCGGAGATTAATCCCCCGCCGGCCGGCCACAGAAGGACCTGAGCCACTCTCCCGGGGACAACAGGAGAGAGAAGAAAGTCTCCCTGGCTCAGTGGCCTTGAGGACACTGGCCTCAGAGAAGCCCCTTCTGCCCCATCTACTTCCCTGGTGACCAAGATGTTCCCAAGCAGGGATTAACACTGCTCGGTGTTAAAAAAACAATTAGATGTAATTGTTTCTTTTATTTCCCCCTTGAGGGCAGAGACCGGTCTTCGAGGTTCTTTCTAACTCCCCCAGTCTAATGTGATGCCAGGAACATAATGGGTGTTAAATATTTATTAAATGAATAAAGGAGGAAATGCAGATTCCAATTATTGATGGTGATGTTGGGAAATACAGAAAGTCCTCTTAAATTCAAATAGCAAGAAGATGCTTTCCCATCTAATAAATATTTTTGGATGGTGTTGGTATTAATCTTCAGAACTACAGTTTCTGAGTCTGTGCGGAAACACTGTTAATAACCGTCTTCTTCTGAATCTCTAAAAAGCGGTCACATTGACTGCAACCGTCTTCCTATTCATCGGAGGCAGTTTGGGGATAAAACTGAACATTGTATGGTCTGGATTCATTAATGAAAATTACCACATGAAACAGATTCTCTTGAGCTGCATCCAATATCCCCGTATAAAGGGTGGCTGATAGAAATAATACTTGGGGTCATCAACAGAATTCCCTTCTCTTAGCTACAAAATCACGGGAAGAAAAATACAAAGCTTCTTGTTAGAAACATGAGGTCTACTGGGCTGTATGAACAACTGAGTGTCCGGCACGCAGGAGACCCTATTTTTTTGTTTGTTTTTTTAAAGATTTTATTTATTTATTTATTTGAGAGAGAGAATGAGAGAAAGAGAGAGAGAGAGCACATGAGAGGGGGGAGGGTCAGAGGAGAAGCAGACTCCCTGCTGAGCAGGGAGCCCGATGCAGGACTCGATCCAGGGACTCCAGGATCATGACCTGAGCCGAAGGCAGTCGCTTCACCAACTGAGCCACCCAGGCGCCCCTGTTTGGTTTTTTTCAAGTTTTAAGTTTTTCCTTTTGATCTTTATTTTTTTATTTAAATTCAATTAATTAACAAACAGTGTATTCAAGGCCCAGTTGCCACTTAAAGCTGTGTGACCCTTGACAAGTCGTGTCCTTCGGGTGGGCAGGAAGAAGAGACTCTGAGAAAGTGCATTTCCAGCTAACAACATAAAAGTGAGTTTTGAAATACCAAGTAATCTGATTTCTAGCTTTTTCCTATTGTGTGTCCAGTTTCCTCCCACCTTCCTCTAGAACAGCGGGATCTTCTCCAAGACAGGCTCTCGACAGCAAATCATGACCTTCTCTCCCAAGGCCAAGGGCAAGTGGAAGCCTTGGCCCAGCTCCCCCAGGGGACACCAGCTCCCCCCAACTCAGGTTTTCTCCATTCTGTGTGTCCTTGGTCTCTACTCTCAAGAGGCCATATTCTCAGCATTTCAGATCTCTTTCCTTCTTCCTTTTGAGATGAAATTGTCCTGCCTACAACTGCAAGACTTATTTTTTAAATAATCATCTCTTGACTTCATCACGCATATACAACCTCTAGTTTTTGCTAAACCAATACTTTCCAAACTGTAGGTCAAGAAATCAGTTTAGTGAATTACAAACAGCTTGCCCCCCCTTTTCAATGGAATGGATGAAAAGAGAAGAGATCAGAATGCGTCCCACATGGCAAAGGTTAAGTGCCGTTTCTAAAAACTATCTGAGGTGTGTGTGTGTGTGTGTGTGTTTCAGGTGTGAACTATGTTTGCTGGGTCGCCATGTAAAAAGTGTGTAACTATGGGGGCGCCTGGGCGGCTCAGTCGGTTAAGCCTCCGACTCTTGGTTTTGGCTCAGATCGTGATCTCAGGGTCGTGGGATCCAGCCCCATGTGGGGCTCCACGCTCAGCATGGAGTCTGCTTAAGACTCCCTCTCCCTCTGCCCCTCCCCGCCTGTGCGCTCTCTCTCATTCTCTCTCTCTCTCAAAATAAATAAGTAAATCTTTTTTTCTTAAAGTGTGTGACTACGGAAACCTGTTGACTCTGTAATGTTATTAATATTTACAACCACTGGGGGAAAAAGAAGGCCCTGATTTGCAGAATCTGCTGATTTCAGTGGGGTGACTACTTCCACATGGCCAATTTCCAGGTCCTGGCATGACCCAGAGTTGGGAAGAGAGAAGCAGCTCTGCTCAGGTGAGCTGGTATGACCTAGCTCTCACATACACCCCTGGATGGCCTTATCTTCACCCAAACCCAGTGCCTCTCTGGATGCAATCTCTGGATTCGCCTGCCCACCAGGCCCTCGGTTAGTGACAGCTCTCCACTCGAAACCTTCTCAGGCACCAGGCCTTGTGGAGTCTCCTACTTTTCTGTGGGGTCTTTTCTTTCTCTCGCCCTTCAGGTCATTTTCCAAGGTTCAATCCTGCTCTTCCATTTTTCCCCTGTAGTCACTAAGTATTCATGCATTTGTCGATTCTCCGGGAGCAGGTTGATTTAGTCAGACCCAGTGTCCCATCTTCTCCTCAGGCCTTGGTTTTGGATGGTCTGAGGCTTCTCTGTGACTTTTCTCTCCATGATAAATACTCCATAGTTAACTGACAGCAACAAATGAAAGAATAAATTCATCTTTTTCTAGTGCTAGCATTTTAATTGTGTCACCCGGGAAGAACTACAAGAGCTACAAATATATGAAAGCAAAAACCAACCAACGAGGAGGGGTTCCGTTCATGACCTTGAGATGCACACAATTTTTATATTTGTAGTAGGAGCAGGACCGGGTATCCCAAACATACACAGTCCCTAGGAAGTATTCATAAGATAGCTAACTTGTCCCCAAAAAAGACACATTTGCCAACTACCTACCTGGAATTATGCATCTATGACTAAGCAATAAGCAAAAGAAATCTCCAAATACTACAAGTATATTTGATAAGCACAAAGACTGACACAAAACCTTTCAATTATTCTCACCACTGTTTAAAAGGAAAAGAATCAGGTGGTGAAAATATCAGATTAATGCTTATAAAGGAGAGCCTCTGCTTCAGGTAATTATAAGACAATTCATATGCTTTGGTCGTTTTTTTTTTTTCCTTTTCTATTACTAACTGTCAGAATTCAGAACTGCATTAACCTTGGACCACTGAGAAGAGATTGTATAATTAGAAAACTGTATTTTTCAAATTCCCTCTTACTAGGGCTTGATTAATCCTTACTGTCTCAGGTAGGCGGTTCTCTAGAAGTTTGACAAATTAACAGGATATATTCCATCCTGGCTAGATTTAAGAGATTCAACATTTTACAGATTTGACTTTCATCTCATTTGATACAAGACTAAGACAACATCTATTTTAGATAGTACTATTATTAAGGTTACTTAAATAGGTTTTTTTAAAGAAAAAAAAAACCTGAATAATGCTAAACAAACGTTAATTGCAGTACAAAGAATTCAGCAGTAATAGCGAGGCTCCACCTCACCTCCCGTGCGCTCCTGGGCCAGGATGGGAAATACTGGGCCTGATAAAATTTGGAGTCAGGAAAACTAAGCTTCTCTTTTAGTTAAAGAAACTCTCCAGGGGCGCCTGGGTGGCTCAGTCGTTAAGCGTCTGCCTTCGGCTCAGGTCATGATCCCAGGGTCCTGGGATCGAGC